ATTCCCAGTCGCCATGATCGAGCAATATTCGGCGTAAGAGACAATCGAGAAACAGTAGTGGGGAAAGGACACCACCCTGTGGAACCGCCTGTTTAATTTTCTAAGTTTGCTCGATTTGTCTCTAAACATAACCGACGAGTGTCGACCACTTAGATAATTTGCCGACCACCGTTTGAGCCTCTGTGGGAGAGAGGAGGCCTCTATATCTTCTAGTAGCGTGGAATGGCAGACGGTGTCAAACGCCTTTGACAAGTCCAACGCTACTAGAATCGTTCTCTCACAGGGACGGTTTCGGTTAAGGCCACGAGTTATCTGAGTTTTTATGGCGTTAAGTGCTGTTGTTTTACTGTGCACCTTACGGAAACCATGCTGATGCTTCGCTGGGGTCAAGTGGTTTGTGAAATACGGGAGTAGCAAGGCCTCGAGTGTCTTCGCTACCGGGGAAAGGAGTGTTATCGGACGATAAGAATCTCCTATGTTGGCAGGTTTCCCCGGTTTGAGCAGTGGGACCACTCTCCCCACCTTCCAGATGTCTGGGATGATGAGAGTGGCCATAGACAAATTGAGGACCTCCGTTAGGTACGCTACCCCCGCAGGACCCAAATTTTTCAGCATCAGCATGCATATTCCGTCGGGACCCATGGCTTTGGAGGCTTTCGCCTTCCCGATGGCCACCTGAACTTCACCGCAAGTGAAAGCAAGGGGGGCACAAGTTGTTGGCAGTTTGTGCAGCCTTCTGGTCACTCGACGCTTGGCTTTGTCCACCGGAGGATGCAGTATGAACTGCCGGCTAAAATAGCTCGCGCATCGCTCCGGGTCCGACGAGGCATGGTCGCCGAAGGAAATTTCGACTCTGTCGTCGTGCTTCGTCGGATTAGACAATGACCTCACGGTTGACCAAAGCTTGCTCACACCAGAGGTGAAGTTGCAAGTCTTCAGATGCTCCTCCCACTTCTTCCGCTTATGTACGTTTACAAGTTGCCGAATCTCCGCGTTGAGATCCCTGATACGGGGATCTCCGGGATCGGCCTGACGAAGGCTATCACGCTCATCAGCTAGAACAGCCGCTTCGGCAGGGAAGTTTGGACGTGGGTCCGATATACATCCTGCCGGTATGAAGCGAGCTGCAGCAGCAGTGATAGCCCTGCGGAACTTACGTTCACCGAGATGGACGTCGGTTGGTGTGGGGAGCGCTGCGAAGGTGTTTTCGGTAAACTCCGCGTAACCTTTCCAATCAGCTTTAGAAAAGTTGATATAGGTCCGGTGTTTGGCGGAGGCAAAGTCGGTTGGTTTATCAATCGAGATGACTATGGGTAGATGGTCTGATGCTAGAGTCAGCATAGGTCGCCACGTTATGCTGTTTATCAGACCAGCGCTGACTATTGTGATGTCTGGCGAGCTACTGCAGTTACCCATAATCCTGGTGGGTGCGTCGTCGTTCATTGTGCAGAATGTCGAATCGTCTATCTGCTCAGCCAAGTCTGTTCCCCTACGATCGTTTGACAGGCTTGAGTGCCAAAGATCGTGGTGCGCATTAAAGTCACCTACTACCATACGGTTTTCACCTCTGAGGAGCGCACCTATATCAGGGTGATATCCTGCCGGGCAGCAGGTGACAGGGGGTATGTATATATTAAATATTTCGAGCTCGACATCGCCTGACCGGATAGCAATGCCCTGACATTCTAGGGTGGTATCCCTGCGGTCGATGTCTGCTTCGATGAGACGATACTGCACGGTGTGGTGCGTAATGAACGCTAAGCCTCCACCATTATCCCGCTCGCGATCTCGACGGTGCACGTTGTACCCGGCACAATTCAACAATGTGGAATTGCTGTGCAACTTCGTCTCTTGGACCGCAGCTATCAATATGCCATGCCTTCCCATGAAGACGGTTATCTCCTCGATCTTGCTCTGAAGCCCGTTACGGTTAAATTGAAGGAGCTTCATGTGGTTCGGGAGACGTGTGGGGATGCGGGGTGTGAGGGATGTGTGTGGTCGTGCCGCAGTTGGCTGTGTGCGCTGCTGAGGTGGCTGCCGCCCTGTGGTGGTGGTGGGAGGCGTCGCAGTTGAGGTCTGCGACCGAGCGGCGCAAACGGGCCGTCGAAGTTCCTCGTCCAATCTCGCGTGGGGCGCAGACCTGAGCATGGCCTAAAGTGGCACCAGCCAAGGCAGGTGTTGCACTTGACTGATGTCACACTACGGAATATCCTGGTCTGGCATACCGTGCAGATTGTAGGAGGAACCAGGAGTTGTTGGCGGCGGCGTGTGGGTGGTGGTGTGGTTGTGTGTGTTCTGTGGTCTGTAGCCGTTGTGGTGTGGTCTATTGTGTTATGTTGTTGTGCTGTGGTGTTTGTGTGGGACTGCTCAGGTGGACTGGGGTTAGCCGTGGAGGCTGCTCTGTTAGAGCAACAGGGGGCCACAAAAGACGTGGTCCCCTGCCGATGTGTCCGTAGTCCTGAGCAGATTCTGAGGTGACTCCATCCCTCGCAAGCATTGCACTTGACAGAGGTGGAGTTGTGGTGTAGTCGTCTCTGGCATACACAGCAGATGTAGGTTTCTGGCCCTGGGTTTAACTCGATGCCAGCCCTGAGTAGGAGAAAACGTAGCGAATGTAGCCCTATGGACGAACAACTTCTGAGATACTTCGCCGACCTAAACGGGGTTAGATCGCCGAAACAACAGCCCTTGGGCGGGTAAAACCCGAGTCATTCCGGTACGTAGAACCGGCTGTCGTGGGAATGTTTCTTCTTGTGTCGTTTACATTGCTCGATAGGCTGGTCGGTCGGAGTTAGCAGCTGTATGTTTTCTTGTTTTCTTCGCATCTCCCTCTATTGTCGTATTAAGACCTGCACTACATTATCATGGGCCCTCGCACCAAATCTGTTCGCCAGGTAGGTCCTTCGCCCAACCAAGACACCTACAAAGCCTGATGCTGCTTGGATTTCGCAGCTTCAAACGAAAATTGTGAGCATGGTAACGGATGTGGTAAGGGAGGCGGTGTAGGAATCCGCAGACAAGATTATGAAGAAGCTTAGCGATGTAACTGCCGAGCTGGCGAGTATGCATAATAACCTGCAAGCATTTCA